GGAAAAACAAAATTTTTTGCCAAAAGTTCGCCGTTTCGACGGTGGAATGGTCGGATTTTGTCAACATCAATAAAATGCCAAATAATCATATGTAACTCATTAAATATCGAAGTTAGAAGGAAAACAACTTTTATTTGAAGCATTTTTCGTAGTTTTGAAAAAAATAATTTTTCTTCAGCGTCAATACTTAATTGGATATTTCCTTCTATACTTTTTAGCACGTAGCTATTTATTATTAGCATTATTCTTTCGACGTCTGATTTCTTTTTAATTATAGGAAATACGTTTTTCTAAGGTACATAAACTTTTGAGATTGACTGTAGAGCCAATACATCCTTAATCTATTTGATCGATATTTTCATAAAGAAGTGTGCTTCGTGATCCTTGCCGCGTTTTCGAGTTTCCAAGCACAACTGTCGACCTTTTGTATTTTGTACGTTGAACTAGTTAGTACGAATTATATCTCTCCGAGCTCGGTGTTAATTGCATTGTCCTCTTCGTATTTCACGAGTTTCTATTGTGCACGGTCGCTGTCTAAACTGGTTGTCGCGTACGCGTGATTAAAAAACACACGACGTACTCATTATTCCAAGGTTCAGCGCCATTAAAACATCTTCCTGCTTGCCGCTAGTCACATCGGCGGATAACAATGAAAAGAAGGGTATCAGGCCTTGAGAGGAAACATACCGTTATTAACTAACTATCTTAACAACGCTTTAACATATTTTTTTCAACATGTCTGAATCCTGGCGGCATCCGATGAACGGCGTCACGGTCTTGTTGAAGTGTATGAATAAACTAGTGCAATTAAAACTTGACTCGCGATTAATTAACGAGTTTAATCGAAGGACGTAGTTAAATCTTTATCACTGTCATTAGTCGTTGTACTTAAATATAGAGTAGTAAGATTCTATCAGGTAAAAATATATATATTCGATTCGATAAAATGTACGAGGCTACCGATTCGAGAACTTTTTTGTATGTACAACGGACTCGTTTGTGGCGCTTAATGATAAAAGTGAATCTAAAGCTTTTGAGCCCTGACACTTCCATCAGTCAAGGGGTCAATTAAATAATTGTGATATTTATAGCGTGCGTAGCACGCGGACAATAACTCTTTGACCCTCGTTTAGCTGACTGAACCCAGCGTACAAGTATTTAATTTATAGTAATTACAGCCACATGATTTCACGCTGTCGGCTTTGGTTTTTGAAACTGTAATAATTGCTTGGTTTCTTAGATTTAAAATGGTAGCATTCCAATTAGTAGCTTCATTGTTATTCCTCTTCTTTTTTTTTAAGTGTATCAGTATAGTCTAGTAAATATAATTCGCAACGCTTAAACATTTTATATTATGGAGTGATATTTTTAATTAGGATCAGACATTGAAATGATTTCCGACAAACTGAGTAAGCTGGAACCGTCAGTTCCGATTCCTCATTGTCAGTTTTATTATTTTATAGATAATATTGAATATAAATGAATTTTTCTATTAAAATGTTAATTGGCATTGTTCAATTTTAAATTTAATTTTGTGTAACATAAGAGAATCATGGGTCGTATACAGTTACAAAGTATCACGTTTACGATAGATCCAAAGAATTTAATTTGTTTATTTGTGAGATTATTCGAAAAAATCTAGTCTTGGAACATCTTGTCAGATTTATGTTCTTGGCCTTTACTTATGATTCGACGGTTCTGACTTGCCGATTATGCTTTCGAATAATAAATAAGTGAAAGAAAGAACGGCTGCGTCGTTCCGTTTGTCAATTATGTCTTATAAAGATTCTACGTGTAACGTTTTAGAAATTTGAGTTTTAGAAATTGTGGGAGTATGGTTAATTCCTCTAATTAGCAAATTACACCCACCTATTATTTCAAGCAATTTAAAGGTCCGATCTTTTGACCGAAGATTGGCTAAATGGATGCAAATTTTCTACATGCCATCATTATAAATTTTTTTTAAAAACTATCTGAAGTTGCTTTAAGTTTGATAAATTGTAAAAATCTGTAATGGTAAAACGTACATGTATATAGCTACGCCGTAAGATCAGATTATCAGTCGTTTAATCGCAGATAAGATTTCTACTTAGGATGTCGACATTCTTATCATTGCACGTGTTGCCGAGTAGGTTTCATTCCCTGTCGATCGCATTTCCTTCGATACCAATCTGATTTTACCTTGAATTTGCATTACGTAATTACTTATTCGCGAATCGGAATCAATTACTCAAGTACCGATATGAAATTTTGAAGAATTAATGACGCCATTTGTTTTCTGGCAATTAATTTACTCTGTACGCAATTCTTAGTACTCGTGGAGTTCTAAAATTCTTGTTCATTAAAGATGAACTGTTTCAAGATTACCTTGAGGATCTTAAAAATGTCTTCGTTGCCACGAGAGAGTTCGTTTCGCTGCGTAAAGATTCACGTTTTCGTAGAAACGACACGGTCACGCGGAGAACTCTCTTTTCAACGGGATTAAAGGAGAGCTAAACGAAAACACTCTCTTTCGGCAGACCTCGGGTCTCGAGTGCCATTATGCGAGTGTGTTTAACGAAGTAGCAATAATCGTGACCCTCACGACTGCATCCGTGACATAATTTCTCCGTCACGTCGTCGTTTCTCATTTCTCCTAATATACATATTTCGAACGAAGCTAATAAATATTTTCTAACAAATTGTACAGATTATTTTTTATATATCTTTATATATAATTGTTAATTGGATTTTAAGCGAGGGCTGTATTTATAGTCGAAATTCAAAGTTAATAAAACGAACGGAAATTTGATTCTCCCGAACGGGAACACGGATCTAAATAGTGGCATTGATAAAGCAATATTGGAAATTCGATTCATCTGCTGTGCGGCAAAGTTCTATCTGTGTCACGTGCTGTGCGTCACACATAATACGATTTACTTAGAAAATAATTTTTATCCCTCGAATTTTTTAACGTTAAAATATGATAGTAGCGAGTTTCGACTTTATTCACCTCTTGAGATGTGTCCAGACCAATGATGAATTAACAGGAAATTATGTACGTGATAAAAATGATTTGACTCATCCG